TCACTAAATCTATTTTTTTTAATTTAAATTTAATTTTTATTTTTTTAAATCTTATTTTATTATTTTATTTTATGTTTTATTTCATTATTTTATTATTTCATTTTTAGACTTATTTTGCAATTTTAGGCTGATTTTGTAGTTGTTGCAAAGACTAATTCTCCTGGATTTTGATGGTTTCATGCTCTATTTCATGTCATCGGAGTCGTATTTTCTTTTATTTTGTGTAGTTTCGTTCATGGTTTTTGAAGATGAGGGTGTCATACAACCTGTTTAAGTCTGATTTGACTTGCTTTAAACTGTTTGTGTGTTTGTACATGGTGTTTTTTGGTTTCGTATGATCAGTTTGCTTGTATTACCCTGCTGTATGTTGCAGGACAGACCTGTGTGACCTATTTTTGGGTCACCAGCCACCAGTTGAGCACCACTGATCTAACAGACGTGATTGAGTCGCAGCGTTCCCAGCTCTTCTCATAGCTATAAATGTGCCGTCTGATCTGTGATGTACATCTCTTAAGAATGAGGAGCGTTCTGCATCCTTCCTCTGATTTGCCCGTTCGACCGCAGATGCTTCCTGCAGCTGCAGAGCACTTCCTGTCTGCGCTGAGACCCTTTTGTGTGAGCGCCCCGTCTCAGCTTGAGCTTCACCCGCTGAATTTCAATAGCTGTTGATGCGGGAAGCGGGAATGCCCATCTGTGCGCGTCCTCTGTTTTCAGTGCCGTGGACACTGGGAGATTTTATTTTCCCTGTGAATGGGCCGCAGTAATTGGGTTTCCTGAGGGAATTCTGTCACTTTGAGAACCAGTGTTTTGTTATGCTTCCCGATTTGATTCAGCGTGGAGACGGTAGTGATTATGTAGGAATGTCTTTATTGTGTGGTTGACAAACTAAAATACAAAAAAAAAAAAGTCTATTTAGGAGTGTCCATCCATCCAATTTTTAAAAAATATTTGTTATATATATATATATACGGTGTATATATAATTTTTATTTTTGTTTTTAATTTTTTATCTTATTTTGTTTATGTAGTTTATATATGTAATTTTTATTTTTGTTTAATTTTTAATTTTTAGCTTTTAATTTAAGATTTCATTTTCATCCTATTTTGTTTTTTGTTTTTTTTGTATTTTGTCTTTTTATTTATTTTCATTTTTTTATTTAATTTTTTTAATTTAATTTTTTATTTTTTATCCAATTTAGTTTTTTATTTATATTTTATTTTATTTTTATTATGTTTGCTGTTGTTTTTAGTTTTTATAGCTTTTTATTTTTTTTAATGTTTTTTTATTTTTATCCTATTTTATTTTTATTTATATTTTATTTATTATTTATTATCTTATTGTTTTGTATTATTTTTTAAATTTGTATCCTATTTTGTTTTTATTTTTGTTTTTTTGTACTTGTATTATCTTATTCAATTTTATTTTATTATTTATATTTTTTTCCGTTATTTATTTTTTAAACACTTCATGATAATATTTACATGTCAGGCTCAAATTGATTGTCAAACAGTTTTTTTTTTCTCCTCTCACACTCAACTGATGAGCCAATGCTGCTTTGAAATGTTTCGAACACTAGATTTATATTTTATTTTATTTTTATTATGTTTGCTGTTGTTTTAGTTTTTATAGCTTTTTATTTTTTTTAATGTTTTTTTATTTTTATCCTATTTTATTTTAATTTATATTTAATTTGTTATTTATTATCTTATTGTTTTGTATTATTTTTTAAATTTGTATCCAATTTTGTTTTTATTTTTGTTTTTTGTACTTAATTGTATTTTATTCAATTTAATTTTATAATTTTTTTATAAAATGTATTTTATTATTTATATATTTTTTCCGTTATTTATTTTTTAAACACTTCATGATAATATTTACATGTCAGGCTCAAATTGATTGTCAAACAGTTTTTTTTTTTCTCCTCTCACACTCAACTGATGAGCCAATGCTGCTTTGAAATGTTTCAAACACTAGAAATTAGGTAGTTGAACTCAATAATTGCAGGTTTGTTTCCGGTTCGTGCAGACCCAGATACTGAAAAGTGACTAAAATGCTCGAAAACACAAGCATGCCCTTAAAGATGACATTTAACCCCTGCTTTCTCCAACAGAACTGGAAGTACACACATGTAAATGTTAAGGCGAGAAGCACGCCTGCGGTGGCCATGTAAACAGAGAGACGGGGTCGTGACGGCTTGTTTTTCAGAGAGGATGTTTGTGAGCGATCGTCTGGCGGCCCGTGGGTGGGTTTTCAGGCCAGACGTTCATCTAGGGCGCACTTCTGCGGGTTGTGCTCTGAAGATGTCACCTTAAATTTGCCCCATTACATAAGAGCTTCATCCGGCGAGCATGAAAAACAAGCCACTGTGCAGAATGAGATTATTCAGCATGACATCAATTTATTGTAGTGCAGGAATCACTCGTGATCTGGTTAGAAAACAACGCTTTTTATGGACCCCAAATGACGTTCTTATGTGTGTGTGTGTGTGTGTGTGTTTATGCTGAGCTTCAAGACTCATTTTTGTTTCAACCATGCACACGTAATGCATTAAAAACATGGTAGTGTGAACTTTTGATGCTTTTGTTTCCCTGTACAAACATCTAAGCATTCTTAAATCAAGATGCATTTAATTGAGATGCAAAATGACCTTGATTTCTGAGCAGTTTAGTAAAATTAAGTGAGATCATGTTTAAAAGAAGAAAAAATATTTGCCAATGGAGTTGGAAAAATAAACTTGTTTTTCCTTTGACCCAGATACTGAAAAGTGACTAAAATGCTCGAAAACACAAGCATGCCCTTAAAGATGACATTTAACCCCTGCTTTCTCCAACAGAACTGGAAGTACACACATGTAAATGTTAAGGCGAGAAGCACGCCTGCGGTGGCCGTGTAAACAGAGAGACGGGGTCGTGACGGCTTGTTTTTCAGAGAGGATGTTTGTGAGCGATCGTCTGGCGGCCCGTGGGTGGGTTTTCAGGCCAGATGTTCATCTAGGGCGCACTTCTGCGGGTTGTGCTCTGAAGATGTCACCTTAAATTTGCCCCATTACATAAGAGCTTCATCCGGCGAGCATGAAAAACAAGCCACTGTGCAGAATGAGATTATTCAGCATGACATCAATTTATTGTAGTGCAGGAATCACTCGTGATCTGGTTAGAAAACAACGCTTTTTATGGACCCCAAATGACGTTCTTATGTGTGTGTGTGTGTGTGTGTGTTTATGCTGAGCTTCAAGACTCATTTATTTTCAGCATCATTACTCCAGTCTTCAGTGTCACATGATCTTCAGAAATCATTCTAATATGCCGTTTCAAACAGTTTTTCTAATCAGATGCTTATCATTATATCATTACTGAGATCATTACAAGAGCAGATGAACCATATTGTGGTGAAAAAGTCTCTTTTGATTTAAACATCATGGCGGTGAGTTTTGTGCTTAATAAACATCATGTCTAAAGAGAATGAGGAATGAGCCAGCGGGTCTGATTCACCGCACATGTTCTCAGATATGCTTATTATTGAGATTAAACTGATTTTCTCCTGCATTAAGTTTTAATTCTATCTGGTTACAGCAACCCTCTACGCACACCTTGGCAATATAATCGCCATTGGCTAGTAAATTTTTTTGTTTATTCGCCAGACTGATATTCTATTTTACACACACACACGTGCTGCGTGCTACATACTGCGCATCCATTGAGTACGTGACATGATCCATTGAGCGCATCCAAATGGTACAGATCGCTTGACGGAGAGCGAAACTCTCAAGCGCTCAGTCAGCGTGTTTATCGAGTGAAAATCTGTGTTGAACGCCTCTCACACACATACTGGCGTGTAAAATCTAAGAATTTATTAGCCAATGACTAATGTTAGACATTATTTAGTCGCCCAGAGTAAGATTTAGTCGCATATGCAAGTGATTTATTCGCAATGTAGAGGGTTGGGTTACAGACACAAAACAAGTCTGTCGTGTTCATTCGGGGGTGAAAGAAATCCTTTTGGGTCACTCCCAGAAACTCCCCGGCTCAAAGTTTAGATTTTGTTCATATTTTTTTCTTAAGAAAGACAAACATGATATGGTGATGAAAGCCAAAATATTAAATGTCATGGATGTATATTCACTGAGTAATGCACTATTTTGTAGAGGGGCATCAAAATGACAATTTCACCTGAGATTCGGAGCCAAATTACAGGGGGTTAAAAATGACTTCAGAAAGCTGGCAGCTTCATGTTATTTTTACACAGAGATTGGTTGCTCTGTTAGTAAAATCTGTTGACTTTAGCAATCTTTGCTGCATTATATTCCAACGGTGATCATTCAAACATGGAGAAAAAAAGCACTTTTTGAACTTTTTTTTTGAAGTTTGCATTCCTGTAATTTGAGAAGTATTAAAGATATCTTAATATCCTTTTAGATTTGAGTTCTTAACCAATTGTTCTTTTAGTATCTTAATTTTTAAGGCCCTATATGGTTCGGTTCCAGAGGTAAGAGGATCTCAATATGGCTCCAGGAGTAAATTGTACACATTTTCAGCGGTCAAAAACCCAATGTGGGTCACTTTATATACAGCTGATACTTACTGTATTTAATGTGAGATGTCAAAAGAATAAATGTTGAAACTAGATATGTAGCTTAACTTCCTCTATCAAAACAATTGCATTGAATATACATGTCTGAGTGCTAAAATGCACTGAAATTGTCAAGTTGAGGCACATTAACTTTCTCTCAGTAGTCATAAGATTCTATATTTGGAAGAAGAGATTTTGTTCATTTTTACAGGCTATAATGCAACAAAAATTGCTCTACAGGTTTTACTAATAGACCTACCAATCTCTGTGTACTTCAAAAAATACCATGGTATTACCATGTGTGTCCAAACTAGCCCAGATTAGATTTGCATGATCAGAATCTGTTAAATCTGAAATGGGAAGATGATTCTTGTCTTGTTTGAGTCTGATGGTGTGTAATGTGTGTGTGTGTGTTTGTGTTTGATTGACAGCTGCTAGAGGAGTATGGGTACGACTGCCAGCGCTGCTCCCCAGCCCACGCTGCATGAGAGTTTCCACGGCAACGGGATGATGGACAGCAGCGCCTCCTTCCAGACGCTCAACATCCACAGCAACAAGGCCAAGTCCATCATCACTAATAAAGTGGCTCCTGTGGTCATCACGTACGTCCAGCTCTGTTCTGAGAGCGCCTGCAGTCACAGATCATTCGCCTGATTGAGTCTCTGTGTGTGTGTTTGTAGGTATAACTGCAGACAGGAGTTTCAGATCCACGATGACGTCCTCCGTACGAACTATAAAGTTGGGAGGATCTCAGACAACATGCCTGAGCACCATCTGGTCCAGGTGAGCCGGACTTTTGCTGTCGTGCGAATCGCATGAAAACCGGTTGCATTTCTGCAGAAAATTAAGTATATTTTTAGATATGTGACCATGGACCACAAAAGCAGTCTTAAGTCGCTGGGGTATATTTGTAGCAATAGCCAAAAATACATTGTATGGGTCAAAATTATTTTGTAATAATTATATTTTGTAAATTTCCTACTGTAAATATATCAAAACTTAATTTTTGATTAGTAATATATGCATTGCTAAGAACTTCATTTGAACAACTTTAAAGATGATTTTCTCAATATTTAGATTTTTTTGCACCCTCAGATT